AGAAGCAGCTGGGCCTAGGAAAAGCCTGGCCAGAATCCAAGTTTCCTGGTATTCAGATCTATTCTCTAACATACTATGAAGGAACTTTCTCAGCTTCATTCACCTACAAGGAATGAACGTATTTTTATAAATACACCATTTGTAAAAGGAAAATGTTTTCTTTTATGAAAGACTAACCCAGAATGTAGCCAATGAATAGCATTAACAGTTAAGAATTTTTTGATGGCAGTTTGCCAAGTGTATAGTTACATTCTCAAACATTTTGTTTTTTAGGTAGAGGGAAAGTAATGTCTCTGGAGATTATTTATTGTAAACCAACAAAAGTATTCTGTTATTTGGCATAAGTTCATAGTAAGTTTGTTCTCTTGAGGTGCATTTTTCTTATAACCATTTTAAACGAAAATATAAAATTGTCATTAAAACACCTTTTTAAAAAATGCTGATAAATAAAAAGAAACGAAATTGAGTTATTTGTAGTGAGGTGGATGGACCCAGAGTCTGTCATACAGAGTGAAGTAAGTCAGAAAGAGAAAAACAAATACCGTATGCTAACCCATATATATGGAATCTAAAAAAAAAACACAATGGTTCTGAAGAACCTAGGGGCAGGACAGGAATAAAGATGCAGACCTACTAGGGAATGGGCTTGAGGACACGGGGAGGGGGAGAAGGGTATGCTGGGACGAAGTGAGAGAGTGGCATGGACATATATATACTACCAAACGTAAAATCGCTAGCTAGTGGGAAGCAGCCACATAGCACAGGGAGATAAGCTCCGAGCTTTGTGACCACCTAGAGGGGTGGGATAGGGAGGGTGGGAGTGAGGGAGACTCAAGAGGGAAGAGATATGGGAACATATGTATATGTATAACTGATTCACTTTGTTATAAAGCAGAAACTAACACACCATTGTAAAGCAATTATACTCCAATAAAGATGTAAAAAAAAAAATGCTGGCAAGATATATATAACATAAAATTTACCAGCTTAACCATTTTTAAGTATACAGTTCAGTGGCATTAGTACATTCTCATTATTGTACAGTTAATCTCTATAACTCTTGTCATCTTGCAAAACTAAAACCCTGTACCCATCAAATAACAACTCCACATCCTCCCCTCACCCCAGCCCCTGGCAGCCACCATTTCTACTTTCTATCTCTACAAATTTAACTACTCTAGGTACCTCGTATAAGTGGAATTGTACAGTATTTGGCTTTTTTGTGACTGGCTAAGGACACTTTTTAAATAATGCATATACATTATGCATTTAAAGAGTTTAGAATGATCATGTACCTACATGTAGAGTGCAGTAATATGAACTTCTTGGTGCCAGAAGCATATGTAAGTACAGCAATAGACATCCATCTTTGCCCTTTTTTGTGCAAGTACCCAAACAGCTTAGACATATTTTCCAGTCTGACATAAGAATAATATGAACAAAGATTTTAGCACGTTATATGTAAAGAAAAAATAGCAAGTCTATTTATTGTTGCTTGTAGTAGTTTATGTTTGATAAGAATCACAGAATATTAGAACTAGAAAGAGGTGTTAGAATCTTCCAGTCCAACCAGCACTCTCTCATTGTACAAACGAGAAAACACAGGCAAAGTGACTTACCCAGGGTCAATAACAAAGAAAACAAGTTTCCTTAATTCTGTGCAGTTTCCCTTGTAGCTAATTATGTCCTTGAATTTCAGAGACCAACATTTATAGAAAAAAATAAAAAGTTAATGTTTACTTACAACAACAAATAAATAATGAATAACAGAAAAAGTTATGCGCGTGCTTAATTTTTACATTAAGGATTGGTTTATTTGGGATGTATACACCATTGTTTCATTAAAGCAAAAGTCTGTTTAATGGGACCTTTGATATGCTAAATCCTCAGCATGATTTAAGTGTAATACTAGATTTTTTTGCACTACAGCTCAATGTGTAATAAAACCTAGAACTGACGCATCTCATTTTGCTTAGGCATTTTTCGTGTGTCAGTGTATGAATATGTGAATAATCATTTCTTCTAGAACTGGTGATACCTCCAGTTAAGATCAGTACCCACAGAAAATACTCCATGGCAGTCACCTCCATACTTACATAATTGTACATCCCATCAGTTAAAAAAAATTTCATACACTTCAGATATGTTTACTTATAAATTGTATGTAAAAACTACTGGTAAATTGTATACAGTAAAAGCTTACACAAGACATATTTTAAAAGAATATAAAAATTGTTTTTTTTTCTTTCTATACCCAGGTGCTCATTTCATACACGCTATTCCTTTGGAAATCTTAATAATGATCATCATTTGCCTAATTTAATGGAACACTAGCCAGTTGTTCCTGTTAGTTAGAACACTAGAAAATGAATGACTCCAGTACAATAGAATGTGTTAAAGTACTTTCATGAAGGTCTTTGGAATGACAACTTTAAGAATCTCTGTAAAAATGTAGTTACCAAGTCAACCAGCATTTATTTAGCATCTGCAAATGACACAGTATCCATCTACCAGGAAGGAGCTTGCATTATAGATGGAAGGCATTTTATTTAGATGTGTGTACAAGTACTGTGTGTACATGTGAAGGTAACTGATAATTCAACAATGAATATAAGAAGTGTTGTGTCTGTGTTACAGAGAGTAGAGACATTCTAAGGCACAGAGGAACCCTTTCCACCCGCCCCCAGCCCCGCCACGGTCACCCAGTTAGAAATCCAGTATGTCTCTATCCTCTAGCTGCTTCCATAGATAATTTGGATCTAAGTTAGAGTTCTGGCTCTGAATAGAAATAAGGGACACATCCGTGAAAGACTGAAAAGCAGCATGGATAGAACTTAGTTGACTGCGTGTGTGGGACAGGAGGGAAGTGTCAAAGATGAGCCAAGCGAATTCCAAAACGGGTAGTAACATACACCAAACTAGAGAAGTCAAAATCCATTTACCTGTCAATTTTACTCACAGAAATTTATATCCTGAGAGTATAACCATAGAGGAAAAAAAAGAAGAACAAAGTTAATTTTTAAAGTTGCAAGAATATTGATTACCATGTTTATGGGGGCGGGAGGGGTGAGAAAGACCTGAAGGTTATTACCAAAGCGTTAACTGTAGTTTATTTCTGAGTATTTGGATATTCAGCAAACCTTTTTACAAAGTTTGTTAGTGTTTTCTAGATTTTCTTCGGTAATTATTGCTTTTATAATAATAATTTACTTATTTCTAAAAGGAGAATGCCAGTTTAGGGAAAAGATTGTTTTAGGGTTTAGTTACTCATTTATTTATTCGTTCTTCAAGTGTTTATTGTAGTGCTTACAATGTGCTGAGTACAGCATGCCAAACCTAATCCTGGCTAGATGTTGGAGAGAGAGACATGAAAAGACAGTTCACTTCCTTCCAGAAGCATTCAGTCTAGCAGGGAGACAGACACGCAAACAAATAGCTCCAGTGTAATATGATGTAAAAAACATAGTCAAGGCATAGTCAGCAGTTTGGGGAAGGAGCCATCTAGATACGTTTGTTTGAATCTGAGTAGGTATAACATTTAAGACACTATTTTAGCTAAGCCTTGAAATCTGCCAGGTTGACAGATAAGCTGAAAGAAGGCATTTCAGTAGAGGAAGCAGCAGCATGTGAGGTAATGGTCGAATAACCAGATGCAAACATCTAGCTTTGGTTAGAATCAAGAGGGAGCGCTCCATGCAGGAGTCATCTGAGCAATGGTGATACTTGTAGCCTTGAAGGAGTATAGACCCCTAAAACAGAGTATCTTCAAGAAAGCCTTTTTAAGCCATAGGAGAAGGGAAAAGGTGCCAGTTGAAGGACCTAGAGAAGTAGGAAGAGTCAGAGTATTATGATGTGGAGGCCCAAGAAAGCAGAGATGTGAATGGTCAGTGGTGTCCACTGCTGCAGAAAGACACATCCACTGTGTGATGTACATACTTCCAGTCTTTGTCTTTGTTCTGTGTTTTTGTTGTTGTTTAAAATTATTTCATAGTCTGTGCGCAGCTTTTTGTCCTGCCTTTTCAGAAAGTAAGTGAATGAACTGTAATTAATTTTTTTTTTTTTTACTTATGGGCATTTGGGTTTTTTCCCTTTACTCCAAGAAAACAAATCAACCTGTAAAGAATTCAGGAGAATGGCTTATGAGAAATTGGATGTAGGTGTAAAAGAAATGTTTTCAGAAAGTTAGCAGTGAGCTTATTACTAGACTGAAACCAAGACGAATTCTTCATCTTTCTATTCTGGGCACCTTGATGAGTGACTGATAATGAAGGGAAGAAGGAATGAAATTAGAAACAGAGGTAGAGATATTAGGATCAATTCTCAGGTTTTTTAGTGTATTGAAAACTTACTTATACTTACATGGTTACAAGGTACAACGGTAGGATTTTAGCTTTGGAAAATAGGAGGGATATCTTTTCCTCTTGAGACTGAGGGCAAGAAGGCATGGGTTTTGTGCAGGTGTTTTCACGATAGGAAAGCACGAGGAACCTAGGCCTGAGTAGACTTAATCTCAGCACAGCTGTAGGTGGTGCATGTGCTGAGAGTGGAGATAAGAGGGGGTTAATTCTAGGCTTTAGGAGAGTGAAAGCAAATTATCACATGTTCCTTTTGAGGAAGATGGTGATGGGAAGAGCATCAAGAGGCAAATGAAAGGATTGTTTAGCAGTCGTGAGGATCTAGTTGGAGTCCGAGAGGATGGTCATAGAGGTTAGGAGTGGATTGTGGACTCATCCCTGTCTCAATGCTAGTAATTTAGATTGTAAGAATTTGGATGAAAGACTACTTCTTCCACGAAATATACTGTTTCTATGAACTCTTAGAGCTGAGAGATGTGTTTAAGATCAATTCTTGGTTGATAGAAAACAAAAACAGAAAATTTAATGTTCATGTATAATTACATCACCAGAATGAAGAATAGGCATGTATTACGAGCATTGTCTCATAAACCATAAAACATATTAACCTTGTACTTCCATTTTTAACAGTAAGAGGTAACTCACCTTCATTGATGAACGTAACCGGTGGTATCTTGAAAGGGCTTTTGGTGGGAGAAGTTGCCAGATCAGGTGGTGGCATTAAATCTCTGGGGTAACCTGGATCCCTCTGTATCTCATTGCCTCCCAGCAGACCAGGAGTATACTGATAACTGTTAGGAATGTGCTGTGGCACTACCTGGACGAGAGGAGGAGACACATGGGGGTCTTGTCGGGAAAATATCCTCAAACACTGTTCTTCCAACAAAGTGATCATCACAGACTGGTTATTGACAAGATCAGTCAAGGAAGCATATTTCAGCTCTAGTTCCCTGTACCTTGTTGCCATCTTCAACATTTCTGTGGTGACATTGAGGATTTTATTTTCCAACTGGGAAAGTTCGAGTGAATTATCCCTCTTACGGATAATCTCATGTAATAGTTGCATATAGAGTTGAGTAACGCGAGAGTTCATGTTACGGCTTTCTTTTCTCAGCAGCTTTACCTCATTGACAATGTTTCCATCTACATCCACCACCAATTGCAGGACATCTATCTCCCGCTTCTGCCTGGAGAGCACGTCCTTCAGGTTTTCAAGGTCCATCCTGGTGATCATGTCTTTAATGGTACCTGCATCTTGCCCTTTGGTATTGACACATATTGGCCCTGTTATTTTTTGTTCAGGTACCAGGAACGTGTATGAACACTTCTTTGCTTCCTCTTTACCATCTGTGGCACGAGGGTATCTCCTCTGGGTTATTTTTTTTATTTTGAACTGCCCTCCTCTGCAATGTCCAATGCCCATTAGTAGGAAGAATAGCACACTTAGGGTCCAGGTAAAAGCCTTCATTTTGAAATGAGGTTGTATGACGTCTTTAAAAAAAAAAAAAAAAAAAGATGAAGGGAAAAAGTAGAAAAGAATTGATATTAGTCTACTTTTAAAGTCAGTAACATAAAAAAAGTATCTAAGGGAAAAACTGAATATCTATTGGTGTTAATAAATTGGGCCAGAATTAAAGTTATTAATTTCTTAAATTCAGTATTAAGCGCCTTCCTATTTGTTTAAAAATTAGGTTTCAGAGATGAGCTCTCCAACTACCACCTTATTGTAATGCTTTTTGTTCCCCAGCTCAATGAGCAGATCTTGGTGAGTGCCCACTGTGTGCTGAGGCATATTGTTAGGTGCTCTTGCGGCTTCTGAGACCCTGATAAGACACTTTTCTTACCTTTGAAAAGTTCACTTGCTATCTTAAGGCTTGGAAAATGGTACATAATGTTGGTAAGGCATTAATTAAAACATCTTCTCTAACTAGTATGAAAGTTGCCCGTGTTTTTTATTTATATTGTGCGGTTTCAATTAAATTGGCCCTCTCTAATAAGTATCTTTTTTATCTATCAAATTAAAAAAATATTTTTAGACAAATCTAAAACCAGAAAGTTTTAGCATCATATTTTTTGTTTGTTTTTGTAACATGTCCTTTTGGGATTGATGACAAGTTTAAGAATGATAGCATGCTCACAGTCATTATTGTGGGTAATTGTGTTTCCTAAATCGTAATCATATATACGCTCTAAGCTTATATATGATTCAGCAGGTTCATTTTTCTAACAGAAGTTCTACTGAACTTCATTTTAGTAAAATGTTAATAATTTTTTATAACAATTACCAAGGAAAGAAGCTCATCTGTCATTGAATCTGATCGTTAGAGTTGGAAAGTACCTTAAAGACCATCTCATCTCATTCAAGACAAGACCTCTTTGCTCCCATGGGTATGTTGAAAGCCAAGGCCATGGCCACACAAATAGGTAATATTAGAACCAGGTCTAGAATTCAGGTTCCCTGGCTCCTCAGTCAGTGTTTATAGCGGTGGCGCATACGCTAAAATGTGTGCTTGGAATGTTCCATTTTTGCTGTGGCAGATACATACTTGCCTTTTATAGTACAATTTCTATAGAAACACTCGAGGAAACCATAAGAGTAGTTCCAAGAACCAAAGCTGCTTTCTTTTTCTTTAGTTACCTCCCTAAATAGTAGTAGCAGTTAGAATGGGTAAGATGTGTCACCCCATCAGGTTCATTAACAAGCTGCTATAGTATAGCCCACCTTCTCTCTCTTATAAACTTGATTCCTGTCTGCTGTTTCTGAAGGATGGCAGTGGATATACTAAGAAATTTTCTATCCCATTTTCCACCCAGGTACTTGTTTTTTGCTTTGGGGAGCCAGGTCCCAAGTTGTTTATGCCTGCTGTTAATAAATAGCAATGCAGCAATAACAATAGTTCATTTTTATTGGGTGCGTGTTAAGTGCCAGGCATTGTTTCAGCCTTTTACACGTATTAAATCATTTACATCTCACCACAACCCTCTGAGGTAGATTATTATTATCCTCATCTTCAAATGAATAAACTAGCATCCAGATGTTAAGTACCTCACAGCTTCTAAGACATGGAATCAGAATTTGAACTCAGGCAGAAGACTCCAGGGTTCACGTTTTTCAATAACAACTACATCATATGGCAACGTATTCTAACCTTTTTTTCTATCACCAACACTGTAACAATCCCTTATATTTTTGTAGTGCTTAACGCGTGTTAACTGTTTGCATTCACAACAGCACTGTGAAGTAAACATCTACCATTTTGCAAAGAAATAAACCTGGAGGAGCTAAAACACTCAACTGGGATTCAGATCTTCTACTCATAACTTTCTAGACCTGTGATTTTTATCCTTGTCATGTAGTAACTGCAGAGGAGTCTTAACTTTGTGTTCCGTGTCTTTTACAGTCTTTTCCTGGTTTGTATCTCTTTACATTGACCCATTAACTTAATTATGCACAGGTATTTGTGGATCATTTTTATATCCCAGACTTTTCTGCTGTCACTCCTTTCCCTCCATATGTATTCTGTTTGTTGATAGTTACCTGTCTAACTTGATTATGAAGCCTCCTAAAATGAAAGGTTGTGTCAATGAAATATGGACTCTTCAACTAGAGTCATAAAGATGACTACTGCTTTCTAAAACCATGTCTCCTTACTTCGGTGTTTTCAAATGAAATGAGTAATGTTTGCAAAACAGGGTGATAATGAAAATAAAGCAAAGAATGGATGGAATGTACAGAATTCTTTTTCTTTTCCTAACATAAGATAGGTGCATAGTAATATTCCATGTTTGTGTCAAAGGCTTTCTGTTTGCTGACTGAGAGCCAGAAGTACACTTGGATGAGTACTTTTAGTTTTTTGCTTTCATACTTCGCCTTCTGACATTAGTAGAAAACTTAGACCGAGTGTCATCTATTTTATTTAAAAAGGACTCTAGTTACTATACTAGAGTTACCTGTACCAAAAACCAATAAAATATTTCTTGTTATACTTGCAGATTCATAGAATTTAGATATGGTTTATTTTTAAAACGGCGGACAGTAAAATAGAAGCCATCAGCCTGCTGGGTAAACGTCTAGCATTTCTCCTGCGTAGTTAACGTATCCAGTGTTCCGATGCACTCATTTCAGTCACTTCAGGAATGGAATGGAAACTCTTAGATCATAAAATTATTTTATCTAAATAAACTAGTATGAAATAAGCTACCAAAACAAGGAAAATTCAGAGAGTATCATGAAACCTCAAAACATGTAGACTTTTCTGAACAGTATTCTGACTGAAGATCTTGTATTCCTATCAGACACAGATTTTTATAGAACTAAGAGCATATAGTGCAAGTCTGCTAATGTGACTTTGTATCCGTGTTATCATGGAAGAACAAAAATGTGAAAATACAAATCTAAATTAAAATAGCAATAGCTTCCTTTTGGTGTGTTCTGCCTTGGCTCTTCGTGGGTTCCTGCATAATTAAATCATAAGATGAATTCTTGTCTACCATAAGAGACTCTGACCTAAGTTAATATTTAAAGGAGACAACCAAAAGTTTATTTTTTAAAAAAACAAATACAATTCCCTTAACCTTTACAAAAGTCATGACTTCGTTGTCACCTAAAGCTGAATAAGGAACCACACTTCTTAAGGAGTAGACAAGCTACATCATGAGTAAAGAAGGAGTTTTTAAAATATATTTACTGTTTACCTTTTATGAAAGCATTCTCTTATTTGTATTTTCCCACATATGTTCAGTTTTTAAAGTGAAAGATCCATAAATCTGTGTTACATCATAAAACCTTTCTGTATATGTTAAAATTTTCCTAGGTCCCACGAGAATGTTGTAAATTAGTCACAGTATACTTAAGTTTAAATCTATGTCTTTGCTTGGTTGTTTTTAGGGGGGGGGGAGAAAAAAAGCCTTCCATGCTTTGAGTTAATTTTATTGGTACTATTTCTCTTCATAGTTGCTACATTGCCAGCTAGTAGGGAGAAGAAATGAAAGTTAGGATATACTTCCTTTCAGATGGTAAATGCATAGAGGCATTTAACTGGCTGTGTCACGCACTGAAAACAGCATGAGGCAATGAACTTCAATTTATGAAGCACCAAAGATACCTTAGATAAAGACTTCTAGATTGTGAATTATGTTCTGGGAAGAGACTTGAGAACAGTTTCATCCCCTGGAGATATTTAAGGAAGGGATAAATAGTTATCTGGGTTTCAGATTAAATGCTTGCCTAAGGCTTCAGTAAGAACTGAGGTTTAACTGAGGTCCTGTATTTTCATAGCGACAACAACAAAAAAAGAAAGAGATGACGGTATTTCAGATCCAGTATTGTTTGGAAATTTTATCGGAATTTCTTGTAAAATATGTTTAACAGAGATCCTCCCAGTATTGAGAGTTTTGAATCTTTAAGGAGAGGACATGAAAGTAAAGTTGAAGAAATCCTATTTAGCTTTACCATTTTTTGCTTGTTGAAGATTCTTACCTTGAATTTCTTTGATTTTTAAAAGGACAGAGGACCCCCAGATCATAACAAATTTAAGTGTCTTTGGTGTTAAAGCTCATTGTTGGTAACTAGTAATTTTATTTTTAATAACTCTAGTAATACAATTAAACAAAGCCCCCAGATAGAATATTGAAAGAATCGTGTTTGTTGACCTATATTTTTGGTCTTTTAATTATGTATTTAAGTAATTGTATCTTCTGGGTTCTTATTTGCTATCGTTAATGCTGACGACTTACACAATACTTCTATCACATTTTATTTCTTCTCCTCAATTATAATCTGTAAGGTTTTAGGATTTTTTAATGTATCAATCGCTTTGCTTTTTCACGTAATTCCAGTTGTAGCAGTTTTAATTTCTGTTGCCCAAGTTAAAGTACTGTTACATATAAGCCTATGAAACTATTTTAAAATTTGAGTTTTAGCAAGAAATACCGTAGACTTGTTTTAAATCTTTAATATTTAGTAATATGAAATATTAATATTTAGGTTATATTTGGTTATGCTATAATTGAGGTATTGTTGCAGAGCTTTTCAGTTAATTTTATATCTTCTTAGCTGTGTTTTGTAGCTATACTTTAAGATATCTTCACAGTATATGTAAATCTTTAGCATATACACTGTAGCTGTGTAAAGAGAAACAAACCATGTTTACAACTATTTTCTTTAGTCTGTATCCCTTTGTTTTTAATCACTGTGCTGTAAATCGTATACATTTAATCTGTTACTTGTTAAAATTTCTAATGTCACTAAAGTACTTGTTTTCTGAAACCCAGCATGTATGCATCAGTCCATGAACATATACACTAAGTACCATTAAATTGAACCTCAAATAATTCATTAATCATCATAAAGTATATAATGACCAGTTTTATATAAAGTTGCAAAACAAAACCTTTTTCAGACTAAACAAATTGTAGTATATTCCAAAATTCTTTGATTAATAAGAGATTTTGAAATTTCTACTACAAATGTAAAATAATTATACATTTCAACATACATAGAATTTTTAAATAAAAGTAAGAGAAATATTATAATACCTTTTGCATCTGTTGATAAAGCAAACCCAGAGACTTGCTGCTCTTACTCTTGCTTTTAAAAATCAGTGAAGTTTGTTCGTCTGTGACTTTAATGGCAACTGCATTTTTGTTTTGGACCGTTGAATCCAAGCTGTACTAAGGAACTTCTTTTTCTTCTTACAGCACAAATCAATTGAATTTGACAAGCCACCTATGTAATTTTAAGTAGTATAGTGGAAGTTCCTGGTCTGCGGGCTGTCTTTAATCCAGCAGAGAAAGCATTGTGGCTTTGCTCTGTCTGCCACATGGAGAAATTCAGTAACCAGCTGCAGCTGACCCAGATTGTATATACAGTACCCTTGAATAGTGATTCCCTCTCTTTCTCAGGAGACTCAAGTTCAGCCCACATATTACGTCACCAAAAATTTGCTGGAGACTTGGGGGGAAAATCTCTTTAGGATTTCCTCTCTGTAGCTTTAAATAGGGGTGGGGGTAGTGTGATCAGCAGGAGGTTGAAAAGCTCCGAACAAGGAGAGACTGTGCAGGTTGAAGGAAGGGCACCATCTGGAAACAAACTATCATAGTTCAGCGGGCAATTATAAAACAAACATTTTAGTCTGCTGCCCAGAGATCTTTTAAGTTGAACACTGAAAAAATAGTACTCAGCTTCACTTAGAAGTAGGTGCAGGCTGATGAGTTTGTTTTTTATTACAAAGAACAAGAGTTAGACTCTGTTCTAAGAGGCAGTCCCCTAAATAATATAATACTCTTTATAGCCTAAAAGAATTTCTAAACATTGAGTTGCCAGTTCAGAAGTTTTTAAAGTTGTAAGAAACCTGATGTTGTAATATGTTATATCTTACTGTGTAATGTTTCTGAGATAAAACTGTTCATTTTTTTAATTCTGATGTTATATAATGTCACTGCCTCCCATTCTGCAGCATGACTCCTCTTGCCTGAATACGGTTATTCTTATTAGTTGATGCTGTGATTTAAAAGCAAACATAACCCTGGCCTGAGTGGGAGAAAAAAGAGAATTCTGACTCCCTGCTGGCTATGGGAACTTAGACAAGTCACTTTACCTACCTCTGGCCCAGTTCTTCTGCTATGAAATTAGGGTGCTGGAGAGGGAATTAGTAATTGTTGAGTACCAACTATGCTTTTATATTTCATTAAATCAAGAATGTTGATTAACTCAGTGGCTGAGGAGACACAGATTTAGACATTTTAAGTAGTTTGGCCTAGGACTTCCATACTAAGCGGTAAGAACTGGGATTTGAATCTCTCTCCAAAGCATTCGGCCACACTCTCTCTCATTGGATCATATAATTGCTGATTGCTGCTTCTAGATAAAACCTGTGCGTTTCTACTTTCTATGCACACCGTGTGCTTTCCCCTCTTCGTTGCCTTACCTTGTGCTACGTTCTCTTTCTCAGGCCCTACCATCAACTGTTTGTTGGTCAACAGCCTTTATTTAAAGTCAGCTTACAATAGTTTCTACTTATTTCACAGAACTAATTATTTCTTAAATTCCTATGACATACATAGGTATAGCAGGGGTTCCATACTCTAAGGCCTACAAATGCTCACAACAAGAATGAAGCAGGTAATGTATATAAGTGAAGTAAACCAGAAGTAAGAGAGCAGAAGAAAATAGGGTTATGACAAACTGGCATCCTTAATGGCTCGTATAATGGTATCTACACCCTTCTCAGCTATACCTCATTGTTGCCAGATCTCCCCCCAGCCCTTTTTTTTTTTTTTTAAGGAAAAGAGGGTCATATGTAGATATGTCTTATGGTATTTCCTGATTTTAAAAACATTGGGACAGCTTCTAGCCTCTGATTTATATTATATAATATATTACTTGATCATTCAGTGATCATATTATATTCACTAATGGCTTAATCTGGAAAAATACGAGATAGTAAGCTCCTCCTGAGCTCTTTGCTTGAGCTATTTAAAGCAGTTAATAATATCACTAACCAAGGTTGGAAAGTGGAATGGCAGGTGTTTAGGGACAAATAATGGTTAGTTTGGCATGTTAAATTGAAAATGAAAGTCAGGAGGTGTGTTCTATACAGAGGTTTGGAAAGTCATCGGCAATTAGGTGACAGTTGAAGCCTCAGAAGTAAGATAATCCAGAAAAAGTACATACAGAGTGAAAAGATTAGTGACAGAACCATGGGGAATACCAATTCCAGGGAACATGAGGAAAAAGAAGAATGGTGGGAGGGTGGACGCAAGGAAGGTTCAAGCCAGTAAAGACCAAGAAACAAAGGGAATAGCATAAATACTGCAGAGAGACTGAGCAGAAGGGAGGAGACCAAGAGAGATGTCTAAAGATTTAGTAATGAGGAGATCATGTATGCCTTTGCCAGAATAAGTTTCAGCAACGAGATAGATGTGGATTTCAGATTATCTACAAGTGTTAGCATGTGTGGATCAGTAGAAACTTATGTACTGTCAGTGGGAGTATGAATTGATATAGCTTTAAAAACAACGTGGCCCTGTCTTGTAAAGTTGAACATTATAATGTAAGACATGCATGTATGTATATATCTGTATAGATCTCTGCTAGAGAAATTCTTGTACATGCGCACCAGGAGACATTTACAAGAATGTCTGTAGCAACAAGGAGGGAGGGGGCAAGTAACTCAAAACTCTATCAAATAAAATGAATAAGTAAATTGTGATATAGTTACATATTAGTTTATTCTCAATTTAAGGAGTTACAGCTGTACTTAACATGAATAAGTCTTAGAAACAAAATAGTGAGTAAGGCAAAGCAATCACAGACCGTATTTTTAAAAATTGATTTAACAACCACTTTAAAATCACTTACTGTGTACCTATTCTAACTTTACTGATATTATTTAATTTAATCACACATATATAAAGTATGATTTTTTTAAAGCTCAAAAATAAGCAAAAGTAAAATAATACGTTGTGCAGGAATACAGACAGGTGCCTCAAAAAAAAACAAGGGAATAATCTTAAAATTCAGAATAGTTGGTTACCTCTAGACAGGAGGCAGGGAGATAACATAGGGAAAGAGCATGTAGATGATACAGCAGTACTGATGTTGTAGTTCTTAAGTTGACCGGTATTTATTACATTGTTTGATAACGACCAATATTATGTGTTAAACTGTTATTTTTTAAAAGGTAAAATTATGATTCTCATACAAAATGAATACATGTCAAATGTTTTGTTTAAATCGTTAAATATATAAGGGAATCAGGAAGATATTACAGCCACTTCAAGGGAGTATCACACATACATGCAGGCAGTCAGGAATGCCGAAATGAATTTACAGATAGTTGCAAAACTGGTCAACATCCACGGGGCAATCATCAGTTACATCCCACTGGACGTAATTCATCAGTATTTTTATGGGCAAGAATTTGTATTTTACAAGTTTTCAACAACTTACAGAGTTGTAAAATAGCTCAGGCCAAAAGGAGGCACTGAAGAGAGGGTATACCTAGTAATCATTTTTGCCTATTCCAAAGTCTGTCACAATTTTCCTGACCCAAGTAAACTTCTGTATGTACCAAATATTACATAAAAATAGAATGAAGGATAAAAAAGGTAAGTGTACTAATCTGTGTTTCTCTTTCAGTGTGTTTGTTGAAAGAGGGAGGGGCAAGGGATCTATCTTGAGGAGGGGATCAGATTTAAATGAAGGGTGGCTTTGATCTTGTTTTCTTAAATAGAGGAGATTTAAATGTGTGCATTGGCTTTGGGAAAGGAGCCATTGGAGGGTCAGTGATAGTGAAGGCAACAGTGGACATTCTAGAGGAGGCAGTAGCGATTATGTTCAAAATCACAGGTTAGATTTGGAGAGAGGAAGGGGATTCTCCTTCCTCTAAGATGGGAGGAAAAGGAAGGGAGCCAGGCTATAGATTTGTTTGAAGTCATAAAAAATGAAGTTGAGAATCTCTAAAGAAAAAGAAGTATTTATGATAGGTGGCTTAAAGAATACGGTTAAGATTTACTGAATGGAATAGGAATGATACTAGGATGAATAAAAGGATTGCCATGCCAGCCTTTTACATTGTGTTAAGCGCTAATTGTCTGAAAATCCTGGTCAGGATTTTCATTTTTTTAGAGTGCAAGATAGAGCAACCGCCTGAATGAGTTTATAGTCTTGAGCAGATAAGATATAAAGACAAAAGATTTTCAATAAGAAGATTATAAAGTCTTAAAAATTATCAAGTGAATGGTATAGATACTGTATGAGTTTGTAACAGAGTGTAATAAAAAATAAAATAAAACTTGGGGTACAAGTGTATACTCTGAGATCCAGCTCTGTCACTAACAGTTTACAGGGCATTAACCACTTCCTTAATATCTGTGGACCTTAGAGTATTCACCTATAAAAAGAGGGGTTTAGACTAGACAGTTTCTAAATTCCTTTCTTGGAATCTGTGAAAAAACTAAAGAACAGTTGACACTGACCTGGATATAAGATATGATTTAAATGGGCAGAGATGAGGCTAGGTCTCATTTAAGATGGAAGAAGTGGCATGAGAAAAAACATAGGGCTTATTTGGAAGGCAGTGGGTACATCATTTTAGTTGCATTTACTCTGAGAGTTCATGAATGGGCAGTAATGAGGAGAAAGTAGGAAAGTGTATTTTTCTCTCCAGCTATAGTTGTCTTTTACACTTTACATGTGCATAGTAAACTCTCAGGAAATATTTTTTATAGATGTGACCTTGCATATCCAGAACTAGTACAACCAAATTATTTGGGGGTATATGTTCTTTTTGTTGGTACAGAGAAAGGGCAAGGTTAACTTCAATTTGTAGTCACATGAACTGTTTCAAAGACACAGCTGTTAATCTTTGAAACAAGATGTTTCTGCCAGAATGAGACAATTTTCAAAGTAATTAAGACTCAAGTGACAGTTATCAACTCAAGGCAAGGGGGTATAGAACTAATATTAAGTAACTACCCCATGGCCAGGTAGTGGTTAGGCTGGCTAACTTAAAACTTCAGGCTAGGGCTTCCCTGGTGGCGCAGTGGTTGAGAGTCCGCCTGCCGATGCAGGGGACACGGGTTCGTGCCCCGGTCCGGGAGGATCCCACATGTCACGGAGCGGCTGGGCCCGTGAGCCATGGCCGCTGAGCCTGTGCGTCCGGAGCGTGTGCTCCGCAACGGGAGAGGCCACAACAGTGAGAGGCCCGCGTACCGCAAAAAAAAAAACTTCAGGCTATACCACAACTTGGAAAATAGACATAAAAACTGAGGTTCGGAGATTAAAATAACTGTCTTTGTTATATACAACTAGTCAGAGGCAGAGCCAGTTCAGGAGCTCATTTTCTTTCGATTAA